ATTTTAAAAATGCTGTCTAATCGCTCTCGCTGTACTTTGATGTCATACACAGAATGGTCTGTGCAGTGCTGCTTTAGTCAAACACCTTTTGTGTTTTATTAGGAGATGCACAACAGTTCTTCTGTGGCTTTATAGGTAATATTTTCACGTACACAATTTAGCAAAATCAGACAATATTGTGTCTAATATATACCACAATATTAACTTCTTATTATTGAATTGTTGTAAATAAATATCACATTTGCAGCTGGTCAGTGTTCAAAAAATGCTGGGAAATCACTTCATGTAGCCCCAAGATTGATTACTGATAAACTGTCTGAAAAAGAAAGAAAGTCACGTTATAGAGAAGAAAAAAATCACCCACTGACTTTCAAAGCTGCTACGTAGTAACGACTTTCTACTTCGAGGACCTTCATAGAAATGTAGTGGAGTGAAAAGTACAATATTTGTCTTTCAAATGTAGTGAAGTTAAAGTCATAAGTTTCCAGAAAAAATAATGCTCAAGTAAAGTACAGATACTCGAAAAGTGTACTTAAGTACAATACTCAAGTAAATGTACTTAGTTACTGTCCGCCTCTGGTAAAAAGTGTTGTAATCATCAATGTGTTTAATTGTTGATAATTGCACATGCCTTGGAAGCCGTTCTGAAAGCTGTTACCTTTGAATTTCCCGTCAAACAAACTGACTGATTGGGCAGCTGCCTTTAGTTTCAGACACAGCCATGGTTACACATCACACTTTATTCATCATATACACGCATATTACATTTCAGCTTCAGTTGAGCTAGAGGTCTTCAGGGGCTGCACTGAAACGAAGCGATCACATGATTTAACTTAATGATGACCTAAGTCAGAGATAATGAGCAATTACCTGCTGCATCTATCTGCTCTGTATGAGACGTGTCTGTGTGTAATGAAGCCTCTCTGAGTGGGTTTGTGATCGGGTATCTTCTGTGAGCCTCGGGCGATGGCATACTGATGTGTATCAGGCTGCTGTATGTGTGTGTGTGTGTGTGTGTGTTGGGGGGGGGTTACGTGGCTATGGTTTGGGGAAAAAATTGTCACAACAATTGATTGAGAGAAGTTGGGCCTGGCCAGGATTCTCAAACAAACAGATCAATGCGTTGCTAGAATATAGAGAAATGGAGGTTTGCACAGGCATTCAGTCTGAACAAAAGACTTGTGACCCGACCCGTTTGATACTGCCAAAGTTTACGATTCAACTTGCTTACCTTCTCTTCTTCTTCTCTGACTAGGTATGGTGCTTTTATGCTTTTTTTTCTTTTTCTTTGTTGTGGTCAAGAGTTGCATACAGATCAAAAAAAGTTTCTACCTTTGTGTTCCACTGATAAAATAACAGCATATAAATACAGAATTTTCTTTTCGATTAACTATCTCTTTTAAAGGGGTCATATGATGCAATTTCATTTTTTCCTTTCTCGTGTGATAAAAGCAGTGTTATTTTTGTATTATTCATATACTATTATAGTATTTAATAATAATATTTTATTATTAAATGTATTAAAATGTATTTATTAATACTATTATATATATATATATTGTTTTTTAAATATTTCTACAGCTTTAATTTATTTTTAATTGTATTTAACAATTGTATTGTTTTAGTAATTTTAGTACTTAAACTTCAACATATTTTATTTCAGTTTGTTGCCAAGGCAACATTTCTATTTAGTTTCTATTTTATTATTTCTTGTTTATTTATTTTTTTGGCTAATATTTATACTTTATTTCAGTTAACGAAAATGATAATTGAGTTAACAATAACACTGGTGAAAAGGGTTATTATAGTTAACTAAAACAGAAACTAAAACCATTAACACAATTTCGTTACTTGAAATAAAACAAACTTTAACCGAAATACAATAAGATATATAAAATATATAAAAATATATTATTAACTTAATGTACTAAAATACCTGGAACTAAAAGTGAAATAAAATTAATAAAAACTATATAGACAAAAAAAACAAAAAAAACACTAAAAATTACAAAAACACAACATAAAAGATAACAATAAAAACCCATTCAAAATATAAATAACAGCTAATAGTATCTCAATGATATTAATATAACACTAGCTCTTTGAAGAAAAATATTTATATTGATTACAGTGTTAAAAATATTGTTTATCATGTTCTATCTTCTATAATCAGTGCATACAAAGTGGTGTAAACTGAACTGAATCATGAGAAATCATTAAACTATTCAGGCTCCACAAATGTCCAGTCAGCGCTCATTATATTTTTCCCCACACAAAAAGCTTTTTTTATTATCCATCTCACTCTTGTATTGCTTTCATTATGAAACAAAGAATCTCAGAGACACAAAGAGAGAGCACGGGCAGGGGTGTGTTTCCCAGAAGCTTCGTTAGCTAACTGTGGTCGCAAGTCCCATTTAACTCTATTGGTAACGACAGAACTTGCGACCATAGTTGCTTTTGGGAAGCACGCAGCAGGTCAAGAGGTCAACTCATTTGTTTTCCGGAGCTGCGCTTGAGGAAAAGGAAAAGAAGTGAAACAGGGATTGCAAAAGAACAGATGATGTGTTTAGTAAAGAGATATTTGTTCATGCTGTGAGATTTCACATTTCTATTTTCAAGTCATGTGCACACTGACCACACCCACAACACACACTAGCCACGCCCACATGCCATTCCTCCCACCTTGCCAGCAGGCTCCTACAGTGAGCTGCACGTCGATCTGAGAGGAATGGATGGGCCAGTCATCTGTCACCAGGTACGGGTCATAGGTCACGCTGTCCACATATAGAGTCACCACTGGGAAATCAACGCTGATGACGTAATAATGCCACTCCTTATCACAGATCTGAGAGAAAGAGAGAGAAGTTCACAATATTTCTGCTTTCTCTACATCTGTTGTTTTCATTTTTGCTTCAATGTGTTATTTTAGTATAATTTATATACTTTTTTCGTTTTTTTTATTATTATTATTTGTTTTATTTTTATAGTTTTCATTTAAATTTTAGTTTAAGTAATTTTGTTTTGTGGTTTTGACATTTTTATTAGATTTTATTAAATTTATGGTCACATGACATGCAGGTAAACAAAATATTTCAATTTTTATTATTTTTTTCCCCAGGTGTTTTATTTTCAAATAATTTACTCATTTTAATTTGACATTTTTATGATTTAATTAATTACATTTTAGTTAGATCAAAAGCAGTGGCGGCTCATCGGGGGAGGCACAGCTTCCCCAAAATTTTGAGGTGAAAATGGGAGGAGGACGATTTAATGTTAATAAAATTCACAGTTCATTTCAGTTCATGTCTCAGAATGTGTATTTTTTGTTTGTAATTTCACAGCTGTAATACCATAACATAATAATGAAGTTGGTGCTGAATCTGCTGATGTAATTACAACTGCTAACGATAGAGAAGGGGAGGGGGAGGCCGGGGGAGAGCTGAGCTCTAGTGCCTCCGTTGGTAAAAAAAAATTAGCCAATCAGCATCAAGTGTTCACTTTCAGCGCTGAGGAGTGTTGAGAAAAGAAACCTCGTAAGGGAGGCAAGCCTCCCTTCTGATATATCAACCGATCATCATAGAGACATAAATTACGTGATATTAGTTTGAACGTCTGCCGCTGCGCTGATAATGTACCAAGTACTTATGATGAGTAGCGATATTAAATATTTGATCGCCAACAGATTTACCAAGCTGTCATTCAAACAGTATATATACAAATTTAAGGCCGCTTTCTTTTAACACAGACTTTTAAGAAGGGATGGATGTTTTCTTCAAGTGATAGGCCAGGTAAGTGAAATTATATTATCTTGCTGTATGTATGTCGTTTTCTTTACGTTTTCTGACTAAAAGCAACCAAAAGGCCATTTTAAAGTGGTTAAGCAAATAATAATAATTATAATCCAATACAATTAGTGTGCCTCCTCTATTTTAAAACCCACGAGCCGCCACTGGTCAAAACTAATCTAAAAGTAATCCAAAAGTAGTCAGAATACATTACCTAAAATAAGTAATCTAGATTACATGTCATCATGTCACTTGTAATCGGTAACAGATTACAATTTGTAAATAAATGAATAAATATATAAAAATGATTTGAGATGTTTTATGTGCTTTTGTCAGTTTTTTAAATTTCTATGTAGTTTTAATTAGTTTATTTATGTAGTTTTAGTACTTCACCTTAAACTTACTGTATCTTATTTCAGTTAAGTTGCAAAGGCAACATTTCTAATTTTCATTAAAGTTGTTTTTAATCTAATATTTATATTTTATTTAAGAATTACTTCAATTAAAAAAATGACTTTTAATAGTTTTAGTTAACAACAACAGCCTTGTTGAAATCACTAACCCTAACTATGATCAGTAGTATAGTTGTAGAGATGCTTGTCTTGGCAAACAAATAGACAGACAGGTTTAAATGTAAAGTTGCGTCTTTGCCATCGTGAGTGTGTGTTTGTTGATGAGAGAAATCTCTGTCTGTGTTTGGCCCGTTTGGACCTCTGCCAGTCAAAAGCACACGGCAGCAGACGGTTTCTGCTCGCTCTGTCACACACCGTGTGTGTTTGTGTGTCTGGCAGGCGGTCTGGGTCGTAGAGTCTAGTGGAACTGATTGTTACACCCTCAGACGAAACCATCAGACATCTTTCCTCCTGCACCTGAAATCTCACATCAGTCTCACTTCTTCTCACTCTCACACTCTCTCCTACCAAATTGAAGCTACCCCCTCCGCCCCATGTCCTCCTTTTTCCCCTTCCCACAGTGCCCACAATTTCCCAAAATGTCTCTGTATTGCTTTCATTTCAGAGTGAGACCAGCAGAAACAGGACATATAAGACAATATAAATAGAGGGAAAAATGTGTCCAGGTCTCTTTCTTTCTTAATTATTATTCATTATTTATATTTTATAAAATAAGATATTTTATAAATATGTGTTATTGTTATTTATTTTATCTTACAATTATTTATTTATTTAATTTAAATTATGATATGAACATATTTTGTAAGATTCAGCCCCTACTCTGCAGATGTCCAGGCCAAAATATTTCCATATATATTTAACTCTCTCTCTTTATAAGAAACTCATAACAATTGAATACATTGTCCAACCCAAATTCTTATTGTAATTTGTTTGGATGTTTTTATATTTAATAATTTTGCCCACAATTTTTTTTTTGCCTGGTGAATGATAAAATGGATGAAAAATTCCAAACACTGTAGCAGCCATATATTAACCAAAAGCCTAGCATCTTTTTTAATTAATACAATTAATTTCTAAATGTAAATATAAAAAAAAAAAAAACACTTAATCATAAATTATGACAAATACTACCATTATATATACACACTTTGCTATTGAAATATATTTAATATAGTAATCATAAAAATAATAAATAATTCATATTGGCTGTAATAATTAATAAATGACAAAATATGTAAAATGTATAAAATAATAATATACATTTGTTTGCGTTACAGTAATGAGAATTATGAAATATGAAAATGTCATACTGCACAAAAACAGGCTTTGTTTTCTTTATGCAAAATATGTTCTTGACAGGCAGTGTGAGATTCAGCCAGAGCGAGTGTTATTTTTCTGTATTTTTGTATCAGTTCCTTCTCTCTGTGCACACGGGTCATCTCTCTCTGTGTTCTTATTATGAATAAATTGATTTCTTTTTCATTAAATTTCACTTTTATAATCTATTGGTATTCGTCCCGTAATCCATTCAGTTTTTCAGCCTTTCTTCTCTGTCTGTGGTTCTCTGTGTCTCTGGACAGGCATTGATTTTCTGCAGAGGTGTGTGTGTGTGTGCGTGTGTGTGTGAATGCGAGAATGGCTGGGGATAGCAGTTGTGGTTCATGCAATCTTGTGGATCCAGATTTAGTCATTTAATGACTGTTATTTTACATCTAGCACACATTACTGTGATTTTCAGTTTTATAAGCATGCAGAAAACAGGTACGTTCCTAGAACTCGTCCATGTTCAGACGCGCTCACAGTGTGTCAACACGATCCCTGGAGAGCAGAGCGCTTTACTGTGATGTTTTCTCTGCGTGTTCAGTAAACGCACAGCGCTGAATCGATAGAGGTGGTAAAAGTCTTATAGCCGCACTAAGCCAAAATCCACTTGATGGCAAGACAATTTATCAAAGACGGAGTGAGTGAGAGAGGTAGAGAGAAACCATTGTTTCAATTGCTTAGATGCTGCAAGTGCACACTTTAACACTTACTGCTGTGCTATTATGTCTCTCACATCTGTGTGAATCACCTGTTTGTCTTTTTTTTCTATCTATTTTGCACCTATTTCAGCAAATGTCCATTACTTGTTTTCTGGCCTTTGAGAAGGTACAATTTCAAAGAGTTTTTCTCTCAAATTTGAGTCTTCAGACATTACAAAGTGTGTCTCTGAACACTTTAAGAGACACATGCTGTCTTATAACTGTTGTGAGTGCCATATCAACCGACATTAAATATTTAGTTCTTATTTAGGATATCTGAAGTGCCTAATGGGTCTTATTCACTAATTTGTTTGTAAAATGTTTTTTACGCAGGTATCATGCATTTATCAGAAAGTTTGCATTCAAATGTATGCTAAATTTACTTTAAGACCACTGGTACACAGTAAAAAATTTATTGTATTACTTTAAATCAAGAAACATTTACTTTAAAAACAAACAAACAAACAAAAACAAATACATTTATTTTCCAGATTTTTTTTCTAGTTTAATGCTTAAACTTACTTAATTACACTAATTAACTTACTAATTAAATTAAACTCTCAGATTCTTAAAAAAAAAACATTAAACTAGAAAAACTTTTCACTAATTTGTTTGTAAAATGTTTTTTACACAGGTATCATGCATTTATCAGAAAGTTTGCATTCAAATGTATGCTAAATTTACTTTAAGACCACTGGTACACAGTAAAAAAATTTATTGTATTACTTTAAAACAAGAAACATTTATTTTAAAAACAAACAAACAAACAAAAACAAATACATTTATTTTCCAGATTTTTTTTCTAGTTTAATGCTTAAACTTACTTAATTACACTAATTAACTTACTAATTAAATTAAACTCTCAGATTCTTAAAAAAAAAAAATTAAACTAGAAAAACTTTTTTTCTAGTTTAATGGTTGAACTTGCTTAATTTTGAGTTTCAATAAGAATTTAGGCTTAAAACAATAACAATTCAGAGGAAAACAATTTTAGTGTTATTTTAACCCACTGGCAGAGTTTTTTTTCTTGTTTTAAGCACAAACTCACAAACTCACTTAATTTATATATATGTAATCTATGTGATAATGAAAGTATTAATTATTTCTGACTAACAATAAATAAATAAATAACTTAAAAATGCAGCCTGTAAATAAGAGTTTCAAGACTGAGTGTGAGGACAAATTTATGTGCATATGATCCTGTGAATCTGGTGGAAATTTTTCTGCATGCATAAATATACTAAGAGTAGGGTTTATTTTATTTTGCAACAAATGCCTAAAGTAAACGGAGGAAAAATGATATTTGTGAAGTGCAGTGAAACACTAGAACTGGCATTCATGTTATTGAGCCAACACTCAGCACTCGTCCAACAAAACTTCACATTTGCATTAACATTCATCATTTAATATCCTTTTTCATAATGGAAACACAACACCATCCACTTACTAATTAAATTAAACTCTCAGATTCTTAAAAAAAAAGCTAATTTAATTAGATCTCTTTCCTCTGCGGGTATAGAGGAAAGAAAAAGGAAAGATATAAAAAAGATCGCTCATGTTCTTTGAAGTGTCTGAGACGTGCAAAGACCAAAATGTTTCTCCCTCAGGGCAGTGGACCCTCAACCC